AAAAATAAAAAATAAAAAAAGGAAACTCCAAGGGTATATATAATTCCTTTCAAGATATGAAAGAATTAGCCATGAGTGATTCCATTGAAAACAGAAAAAAAAAAAAAAAAGTGTTAATGCGTTCAAATCCCTTTAATTCCCCTTGTAAGATGTATCATTTTTGCAAATAAATGACACGTATAACCAACTAATTGAAATGACGTAACTTATATAACATGTACACTGAGTCAGATTGGCATTACTCTATGTACGACAAAATATTGTTTGAATCATATATATATATATATATATATATGTATATATATATATAGTGGTACAAGCAATCTATATGAGAATGTTAGCAAATTTGTGAACTTTATATTTGTAGGTTTTGATTTGTTAAATTTGAATTGCAATTACAGCTTGATATTCGAGGAAACCCATATGGGCTACTTGTAGCGCACCTAGTGGCTCCACTGGTCTCACTCCACCACCTACACTATCTGGAACTCTTGTTCCCAACCCTGACTCGTATTGACTCCCTCAATAAGTTAAAGAGTGCCCACCATATGGATCCGGGTCGGACCCTCCAACACAGTTTTCACTATGACTTACGGCGGAATTAGTCTGTCTCGGTGTCCTCTGGCTACAATGTGCAATTGTACCCGTCTCTGATGACAGCAAAGAAGCTCGACACTGCATTGAAACCTGCACCTTTTTACATTGACACCCGGTCCTTTGGCCCCGACCCGTGTGAGAAACCGATTGTGTATATCTTGGATCAGGTTTGTGAGTATCGGTGCGGATCAAATCTTGACCACTTACAAAAGGTACATGGACAATACGGAAAATAAATGTGAGAGGGTTAACTATGCTTCCGCGCTGACCATTCAGTCTTTCAATGTTTCAGCTGCCCTTTTCAACAACGAATTATGGACTAAGGTAAACATAAATACTTAATAAATAAATAATGATTATAATAAATACTAATATTGTGTAATATATATATATATATATATAGGTTGATAACTAAGGTAATAACTAGCTTGGACGTAATACAGTGGAAAGATGAATGTTGACAATTCAGTCAAAATAATATACATATATCTCTGTCAATTGTGTGAAAATGAATGTTGACAATTCAGTCAACTACAGTGGCTAACACGTTTGGAAAAATTGATTTGAATGACTTTTATGACTAGGCACCACGTAGACAATGCTGCGAGATCATCAGTGGCCCGCGAGAAGTTGACAACGTGGTACAGCTTGAAATTAGAGGCTGCAATCCCTTTGAGAGTGTGACTCCTCCTTAGAATTTGATATTCTCACTGCTGGTGAAGAATTCTTGTGAATACATTGACACTTTTATTTTTATTTTTTTGAGGGAAATATACATTTTGACAAATTCAGTAAGAATTCTTGTAATTTTTCTTTTATCTTGATAAAGTTGGTAGTTCATTATATATAGGATAGAGTTTGCATAACGTTACAGGCCTTAATTCAGATAGATGTCTTTGCTTTCTTAAGGAGAAAAAAGACAAATACTTCTTAAAATTCATAGATCTTGTATTTTTATCTATTACACTGGATTTATAACATTTAGTCAAAGAATTATCATTGACACAACTTAAGTCATAACTTGAGTTGTATACGTGAGATAAAAATACTATAGCAAAACAGTTAAATTTGAATTTATGTGAGAAAATACTGTAGCAATATGACTTGAGTCATGAAATAAACAAGGCCGAATTAATCAAAAAGTTATTAATCAAGAGTAAACGGTAAAAATCTTAAAATAATACACTTAAAAGGTTAATTTACTAATTTTTTTTCTTCTTTTCATTCTTAATCATCGCGTTTCATAGACAAGAAGAAAGGGAAAATAAATTGTTATTATTCAAAGAAAACGAGAACTACCTGTGCGGCAGAGGATGAAGCCTAAGTTGGCTTTTTTTTTTTTTTTTTGTTAAATCGCATCTGTTTTTTTTTTTTTTTTTTTTTTTGTTTTTACTTTTATAACACAAATAAAAATAAAGATAAAGTGCGAGTTAATATTTACTTTTATATGGAGAATCTTTAACTTCATCTTCTTTAAATTAAATCAAATTTGAATTAGTAAATATCTTCTATTTGGATTTAAACTTAAATATGACATACTTGAATAATTTATTGATTCTTTTAAAATAATTATCTCAAAGTAAATAATACCACATTCCTTGATGATTAATTAAATTACATGTATGTTTTAAAATCTATAAACTATAATTATCCCACTCTAGAATAATTATTAATTAAATTAATTCATGGAAAATGACCTCGTTTACGCGTCTGTAGTCCAAGAAGGGATTATTTGCTCCAAATTCCTTCTCAGAAACCATGAGAAATGGGTGCAAAACTTTTACAATCTCGAAATTTAGAGACAAACATAAACTTTAAAAATTGTTATTTATATCTCACAAAATCTGCAGATAATCTCTGATTCAAAACCAGAATATATTATGAGATAAACACAATCTGATTTAAACTTTAAACTCAAATTCATCTTCAAAACAAAATTCATATTAAAAAGCAATAAGTAAATAAATAATTTTGATATAAAGTTTCCAACAAAAACACTCAAGAATAAAATTCCTTACTGATCCTGCTTTTCCACAATGTTGTTACCGTTTTGTGAAAGGTTGCTTCTTTTCTAATTTAGATTTCTTGGTTTGTCATTGGATGACTTCGCGAATATAATGTGATTTGTTTCCTCTGTCGTTTTATCGTTTTCCAGATGTCACTATATTTGTAAATATAATTAAAAAAAAAAACTATTTGTAAATAACAGTTTCACAGGACCTTCCATCCATGGACGGTCTTCCGAACGAAAGAGTGGATATCAGAATAGAGAGAAGGTTGAACGCGTAATGAAACTATGTACTTTGTAGCATTTGTTGTATTAAATTTATATAAAAAAAAAATACATATAACTTGTGAGCATGGTAGGTTGGAATATTTGTTTTGCTTAAAAAAAAAAAAAATTGGGATGGAGGATTTGAGCTCTAAACTTCATAGTGAAGTCACATATAATCATGTTTTATCTAAATAAATTGCCGCAATTTCTATTTTAGAATTGAAAATTCTAGAGAGAGAGAGAGAGAATATCTATTTTTTTTTTCTTTTTTTTCTATTCATGAACACCAATATCTATAATCTCATCCATTGATTAACCCGTAGAGCGCAAATAGTAGTATTGAGTCTATTTATTATCGACTGAGATTAAATTATACTATATTTTTACCCGTTATTTTATTTATTCTCTTGTATTTAATTTACTTTATTTTATGGTGGGGGCAACATTCAAATCAAGAGCTAGATGGAGGGAATAATTTAACGTATTCAACCAAAACAGAAAATGCTAAAATGACAGTATTTGCGGAGAGAAAGAATCATCTACAAGTAACCTCTTCCTTTTCTATTTGTTGTCTTGTAAGTTTGGTCAAAGTCCTTATCGAAAACTTAGGATCTCGATAGAAGCACAGAAATTCCGTTCCAACTACAACATTTTCTCGGTCGAAGTCTCCTAAGATTTTTTTTATTTTATTTTATTACGCAATCTACTAGATTCTCTCAATGTGAAAAGAAAAAAAAATTACATATATATTTATATATAACAGATATTAAGTGACACGGTTATGACTTTGACAGCCTTGACTTTCGCTAATACTCTCCCAACAGAAAAAAAAAAAAAACAAACAAACAAACAAAAAACTAGAAAGCAAAATATACGTCTTCAAGTTGATTTTGACTTAAATGGATGGAGAAAACTTTAAGCGTTGAGTAATATTTGAAATCCTGTAAACTTGTTGGATTTAATTTCTTTCCATTCATACTTCGCTTTCTTCAAAAGCTTGTGTCCCCACACTGTTCCAAGACCGAGACCAAGTAGACCAAGACTAAAACTAAGACCATCTTAAAATATTGGAGCTTATGATTACTACACTAAGACCATCTCACTCCCTCATGCCTCCCGCGTTATCATCATGCTCGTGATAAGGACAATATTATGATTTAGTGCCCGTTTAATTCGCCGATTCCAGTTTTTAATTCAAGTTGAAATGTGATTTTATGTGATAATTTTTTACTGTAGTAAAAGAGTATGCGACTATTTCTGAAAATTTTTACTATAGCAAAACTCAAATTTTAAACTCAAATCGGTCAAATGAATGGATTCTTAATCTACGAACTAACAGTTTTTATCGCGGGTTTAGACCATAGTATTTTCTTTTACAAAAACGATTTAAAGTTCTACTCAAAATGTTGGGGTTTTGATGTACAGCTCAAAACCATGAAATGTATTATTCATTAAGTTACAAAACACAGATAATAAACCAGGGGGAAAAAAAAAAAAAAACACCGTTTCAAGCTATATAGTTAGACTTGTATGTATATCTACAAGAAATGAAACCATATTTTATAAAATAAAACAATCGAGCCTTTCGTCAAAGATATCTATTCGGTTCATACTATAACACCCAAAAAAAATTATTAATTAATTCAGACAATCCTCGTACGTATACGTTAATTACTATTACGTGACTTGACCGACAGCATAAATAATACTATATCAGAAGTATATTATTCACACCCAGTGCGATCGATATTATTTGACAATCATTAATCATATCTATTATGTATGTGTGTGTCTATATATATATATAATGCACGTATAGAATTATAATATTTGTTTTCTCTGTCCTACAAATGCCGTATTTACATGATAGAATTGGTTACTTTTCAACGATTTGTTCGTATCCGTTTTTTCTTTTAAACTTCCCGTTATTTTTCTTCCTCCGTCGTAATCCAAAAACAGTCCCAACGCGTCTAGCTCGATGAACAATCTCCGAAATGTCCATACGGCCAAACTACCTTCATATACCCCATTATATCATTCTCCAACCAAAAACCAAAATTGAACTCTCTCCACAAAACATTAATATTCTCTCCAAAACGGCAATAATCTTCGCCGGCGAGGGACCTCCATGGCGTGGCTCACCACCGCCGGCAATTCACTCTACAACATTCTCTTTCAGTATGACAAGAAAGTAAAGACCACGACCACGATCTCGACGAGCTCGGCACCACTTGGAATCCTATGTTTCGAGGCCGCGAAAATGATGTCACGTCTCGTATCTCTCTACCGATCCCTCTCCGACGACGAGTTTCGGAGCCTGAAGAACGAGGTTGTCAAGTCCAAAGGCGTGTCTTACTTGAATTCTTCCGACGAAGATCACCTCCTCCGCCTCGCATGCGCCGAGCTCCTCGAGGAGCTTGACCACGTCGCCGCCGCCGTCTCTCGCCTCGGTGCGAAGTGTTCCGACGCCGCCCGTGGACTCCTCCGGTTCGAACTCCTCTACGCCGATCTGAAACTAGGGCTAATTGATCCGAAGAAAATCGAATTTCGATCAAGAAATGTGCAGAGACTTGTGGAGAAGATGGAGAGATTGGTCTCCGTTACAGCGAATCTTTACTCGGTGTCGGAATCGCTGGCGGAATTGGAGCATTCGGAGAAGAAAATCGACAAATGGAAGAAGAACGCCAATCCGAAGCAGTTTGGAAAGACGAACTTCGAGCTTTTTGATCAGAAAATCGCCTTCCTCAGGAAACAGGTCCAGAGCTACAAGGAAGCCTCTCTTTGGAGCCAGACGTACGACAAGAGCGTCGGTGGCGCGAATCGTTTGTGTCGTTTACGCCAGAATTTTTGTCGTTTTCGGACCATACTTTATATCTTCGATTTCAGGCATGCGTCGTTCTCCAACGGAGTATTGCCTTATCGAAGACCGGGACTTTTACGTGCAGAGAATTGAGCAGGCCTCAAAAACAAGCCCAATTGGGACGGACCGGGGCTTGGTCCGGATTCCACGGCGGAATCCTTTCTCTGACGGTTTTGATAGAATCTCCGGCTGTGAGAATCGGAAGAATGACGGGGTGTCCGGATTGGCTTCGCAATCGACGGTGGGAGGCTCGGCGTTGACGCTGCGGTACGCGAACGTGATCATATTAGCGGAGAGGTGTCTCTACGCGCCGGAGACGGTGAATGACGGCATGCGCGAGGAGTTGTACGAGATGCTTCCGGAGAATTTGAGGAGAACGGTAAGAGCGAAACTGAAGAAGCGATGGATGAGAAAGGAGGAGGAGGATGAGGGAGGGCGTAATGGCCACGCGCTGGCGGAGGGGTGGAGGGACGCGCTGGAGGAGATAATGACGTGGTTGGCGCCTATGGGCCACGACACGATGACGTGGCAAACGGAGAAGAACTTGGAGAGGCAGCAGTGTTATTATGACGGCGTGGGAAAGCCGTCGTCGTCGTCGGTGTTGTTGATGCAGACGTTGCATTTCTCGGACTTGGAGAAGACGGAAGCCGCCATTGTCGAGGTTTTGGTCGGGCTGAGTTGCGTCTTTCGGTACGAGAATCGGCGGCGTTCCGGAGATCATGAATCATCATCACATGATCATCTCCGAGAAGTTGGAGCTCGCTTTAAAACTAGGTCGTGACGGTTAATTCGTTTGAAGTTTTTTTTTTTTTTTTCTTAATGTTCTTTTCGAAGAATGTATATATACATTTTTTTAAAGGGTAATACAAAGGCGAAATATAAACACATTTGATGAGAGTGAGCTGATTCATTTTAGTCATGGGCAAAATAATTTCTGTTTGTAAAATTGTAAGGAAAGTCGCACAAAACTTCTCCGTGCTAAATTTTGTTATATCTGGTTCTAGAGGTTTTAGCTCCTATTGCCCGTCACATGCAGCTAAAGATGTCACGTAGGGGGCATTTGATATATAGTAATGAGTAAAAATTATATTACTAAGAAAGTGATAATATAATTTCTAAAAAACATATATTATTATGTTTAGTTACACATAAGAATTTAAAAAAAAATTTTTGAGAATATTATTTTATTGTGTTTAGTTAATCACAGTAATTTTTTTTATCTTCCTCTTCTCTCTCCACCATAAACTGCTCACCATCAAACCCAGATACAGAGCCTGCAAATAACGTTCATGGCCTTCTCCATCACCATTAAGCATCTATATGCCTCTTTCCAACAAACTTTCTCTCTCTAACTCCTCTGACTGCCTCCGATCCCCAACCATAGGCTGAACTCCTCTGGGTATTCGGTAACAGGCTATTGAATGAGCTCTTTTGCAGAAATGGGTATTCTCTTTGGTTCTCCCCCTCTCTCACTCCCCCAAAGCGCCGCTCTCTCTCTCTCTCTCTCTCTCTCTCTCTCTCTCTCTCTTCATTGGAGCGTTGTCGTTGGAAAGTTCAAAGAGTTGCGAGGCCGGCGAAGAGGCCGAGCCACCCCAGAACGGTGGCGATTTTTTGTGAAGCCTCGACTTCAACGCCGTTGAGCGTATGACAGAGCAACCACGATTGCGACGGAGATTCGTCCTCTGTCGAAGAAGAGATAAACAGATAGACAAAGAGAGAAAGAGTAGAGAGAGAGAGAGAGAGAGACAGAGAGCGCGATAGAGAGAGATTGACGAATAGAGAGAGTAGAAAGAGAGAGAGATTGGTGAAGATAGAGAGAGTAGAGGGTGGGGAGGTGGTGGCCGGCGGCAAGGTGGTGGTGGTGAGGGTGGGCTGTAATTTCAAGTATTTTGGTGATATTCCCATAAATATGAGATTCATTTGAGTAAAGATTACCCCAATTCCGAGTAAAGTGAATTTCATGATATTTACTTTTTTAGAAATGTACAAATTGAAACTTAGGAATGTGAGAAGATTTTTATTCATATCTAAAGATTATTGTATATTAAACGCCTTTATAGTATAATGAGATTCAGAAGAAATATAAAAAGTTACAAATAATTTCATCTTAGTATTCAAATTTTACTACAGTAAAAAATTTTCATAAACAGTTATATATAACTTTTTTACTATAATAAAAAATTCTCAAATAAAGTCACATCTTAATTCAAATTAACGAACTAAACGAGTCTAATATATGAATTGATCATTTCAAAAGAGAACTTGTGGTGATGGTCTTAATTATTTTTTTTCTTTTATATTAATATGGAAATTATTCCTAAAACGATATTTGCGTGAGATGACATAACCAAGTACCTTAACAATGACAGTAATAAACTAAAGAAAGTGAAAAAGAGAAGAGGATAAATAGACTTTTGAATAAAGATTTACGGATTAGGATTTGACTTAACCCCGTAGTCTAACTTCATGGTCCATTTAGTCAATGTTTTGGTGAAATCTTGGTCTTAATATTGGTTGGTTACTACGTTGTCCTTAATGGGCTTCTATGTACATATACTGTTATTTGGGCCAAACTTATGAACTAGGCTTTTTGGGCTTGTGGAGCAAGTTGTATAATAAGTAAAGGAAAATAGTAGAAAATAGGTCTATCAAAAACTTAAAAAAGTATATAGGTCAATTTTTAATTATAAAAATTAATATGTCATAATTTATTAAGTTATAGTTCATAATCAGATAAATTATGGACAAACTTGTTAAGTGATAGTTTATAGTCAGACAAGTTATGGACAATAACTTGTCAAGTTATAGTTCATAACCAGCCAAGTTATGGACAAAAATAGTAATTTGGCCAGATAAATTATGGACAAACTTGTTAAGTGATAGTTTATAGTCAGACAAGTTATGGACAATAACTTGTTAAGTTATAGTTCATAACCAGCCAAGTTATGGACAAAAATAGTAATTTGGCCTATTTATTAACTTATGTAAACTATTGGCCTATTAATTTTAATTTATCTCAAGTCTTGGCATATTTTCCTCTTTCTCCTTAAGTAAAAATTATGACTTTTTTTTAGTTGAATTAAAATATGGCTTAATTTTACAAATATCACTTATATAGCTGAGTTTTTGAATTATATTTTTCGGCACCCGAAACTACCCCATTAGGCTTCAGTTGATTTTGTACTTATATAGCTGATTTTTTATATTATATTTTTCGGCACCCAAAACTACCCCATTAGGCTTCAGTTGATTTTGTTGTGTTTTTCTTACTAACTTACATATCTTTCTCATAATTCAATTGCACCGAATTCATTTAGATTTTAAATTAACTATTGGCAAGTTAATACAATACTCTTTTTAAATTTTCCAAATTTAAATTAACAACCTAATTCATCTATAGGACATCACATGTGTATTGCCATTTATTTTTTACTCCTCGTAATCTTTTTTTTTAATGCATTGCCTCCCTAAAAAAACATATCACCGTCAAAATTCTTCATCGAGTGAATTGTCATTAAAATTATTCATATATTTTATATAATGATATAATCTGTACTTTAGTGAAATGCTCTAGCATTTGCAGAAGTGTTGTTTTTGTTTTAGTTTAAACACATAAGCGTTAAATGTTGTGCTGATGTTTATCTAAATTACTTCATGTAATGATATAATTTTATTTTAATGACACACTCTACCATTTGCAGTAGGTCGTTTTCTACCTATTCATAATCAAAATGGCATTTATATAATTAACTAAATGAAGGCTTTTATTACCAGTTTTTTAATGATGGTTTTGTTCAAAATTACTATATTGACATTCTATTTTAGAGAGAGAATAAAAATATCATATTTTGTTCTAGAGAGAATAAAAAATCATATTTTATTGAATTTTTGGTATCTTATAGTTCTACACAATCTAGATTGATAACATAGACAGAAGGGTATGGAAAACAGGAGAAGCAAACCAATAATTGAGGTCCAATATGGTCTTGGACTTCCCTTTCATTATTCAATTCAATCAATACCGATTGAAGCCCATTCTGCAACAAGCAGCACCGATAGATCATGAAAATGAATGAAACATCTTTTGTAGCTTGTGAAAACTATAAAACGAAAAGAGATTTTTCTTGGTATTTGACTTTACCACGTGGAAAACTATCTTTTTCTTTTATTTAATACGATTGGGATTGGTTCTCAACTTGATATCTAGTGGGGATTCGTACCCCGATTCGAATCATAGTTCATAGTTCGCTACAGTGTTTTCTCTCATAATAAATACACGTAAATCGAAAATAATTCTAATCTCATGATTCTAATCCACGAACCAAACGTATAGCCTCCGAAGTTTCTAGGTTTTTTTTTTTTGGCTAGAATATTGCTTTTGTTTCTTTTGTGGCTTGTTCGTGGTTCTAAACTCGTTTGACTTATTATGTTCTCAAAAGCTAACTTCTTATAACATTCTAAGAGGCATTCGCTAAGTAATTTATTAGTTAAAAACAAAAATCTTTAATAAAATTTATTATTGATAAAAAATGGACTAAGACACATGATATATATATATATAATACTCATTAATTTCCAGGCAAACTAGCCAAGTGACAATTCCTTCATTTAGAGATGGTATCTCCTTTTTGAAAATTAAACAACTAGCTATAGCATGTGGTTTGGAAATCAACCACCTGATTTTTGTTAAAAGGTTAAGGAAAAAATAACACTTGTACATCTATCTTTTTTTAAGATCAAAATATGGAAAAGTAAGCTTGAATGACCTATTGATAATAAAATGAATAAGCCTAGGACCTTTGGGTCTAGTGATACTGGGGTTGGTGGAGTGGGATTTTAATGGAGAGTTGTGAGTTTAATCCTACGTTGTATAAAAAAATTAATAAATGAATACATCTCATCCTGTGCCAATAGAATATTGCTGCTTCAAAATGGCATTATCTCAAAAATTGGCCTTGCTACAGCTTCAATATAATTTATTTTTTAACCATGTTAAGTGTTCCCGTTTAGTTAGCTGATTCGAGTTTTTAACTCGAGTTGAGATGTGACTTTATGTGAAAATTTTTTACTGTAGTAAAAAAATTAGATGTGACTGTTTCTGAAAACTTTTTACTGTAACTAAACTCGAATCAGTAATATAAACAGGACTATGTTTAGTAAGTTTTTACTTTTTTAAACTGATACTGGAAAGAATGTTCACGGTGAATAGAATTTCGTTTTTCATATCATAAGAAACAAGGTTTCATAGGTGGCCTATCAGAGAGAAAAATGTTATACAGCCTACTAGAAAGTTCATAAAATGGGCAAGAAAATATCAAAAAATTTCCAACTACAAATTTTGTGGCAACAAAAAATTACAAACCGAGTTCCCAGAACTCTCGGTTTTGTCCTTGACCAAAAACCAAAACCCCCATTCTAGCCCAATGTATACGATACACAAAAAACTCAAAAACCAACGTCCACGTCACCATGTGCCAAAGTGCCACGTAAGATATAGTAGCGAAATCCCATTTTGTGTGGCCGTTAGAAATTCATACGTAAGACAAAATGCCAAAATAATCCTCAGGACATGATTTCTCTTTCAGCCTTTCTCTATCCCAAACTCAAACAAAATGACACTTCACGCTTCCCTATAAAAAGCTGATCAGATCACACTCTCAGCTCTAAGAATACCAGTCTCACTTAAAGGCTCTCTTATTTGATCACCTTCTTGGACTGTTCTAGAAACACAGACAGTGTTCCATTATCCATGGCTGCTTCTGTCTCAACCGTCGGAGCTGTTAACAGAGCAACGGTACGATGTTTCTGTTCCTTATGTTGTCCTCGTTTTCATCGAACAAAATCTATTGAGAATTCTGTCTGAAGCTTTATATTGGCGAAAAAAGAAATGAAGCTAAAGGAGCGAGATTGCTTACTTTGTTCTCAACCGGTTTAATCTGTTCATTATCTTGCAGAAAAGGACAGTTAAAATTTAATTAAATAGAAAGCTTTTCTGATTTCCTAGCCTTTTTTTTTCCTAATTTCATGTTATAACATGGACTCTGCAATTTTGTGTGAGGCTTTTGCGGTTTTCTTCTTTGTTGATCTTGAAAGTTTACCTTTGATGGGCCTTTCTTTTATTTACTTCAAGTTCACTCTATGCATTTCGCATATTTATTTTGTCAATAATGAACTAAAGGATGGGCAGAAAAAGAAAGCAAATTTTAGTTTTTATGTTCTCAATCTGTTACTAGTGATGATCACCATCCATTTTTTGTTCCATTGTTGCAGGAGGTACTGAAGTAAAACAATTACATTACATGGATGCACGTTTGTTGTTTTTTTTTTTTTTTTTGGTTGATAAAGAAATTTTTTACTTACATAAACTCTCCTAATATAATGTTGAAAACATGAATCTGCAAAATTTATCTTAAGTGGGGTATTAAACTTCTGTGCCTTCTTTGCAGCTCAACTTAAACGGTGTCGTTCACGGGGCATCATCGCAACCGAGCTCATCCTTCTTTGGAAACAGGTTGAAGAAAGGGAATTCTAAGATCGGTCAGCAGAGGATTCCAGTTGGGAAATTGAAGGTGAAAGCTGAATATGATGAGGAGAAGCAGACCTCGAAGGACAGGTGGAGAGGGCTCGCATACGACACGTCGGATGATCAGCAGGACATCACAAGAGGAAAGGGAATGGTGGACACTCTGTTCCAAGCTCCAATGGACGCCGGGACTCACTATGCTGTTTTGAGCTCCTATGACTACATCAGCGCTGGTCTTCGCCAGTAAGTGATTTCGATTTTGATGTTTCAGTTGTACAAAAAATACTATTTTGAAATAAACACTGACATAAAATTTGTTCAAAATTGTAATTCTATTTTCCTATTTGTAGCATGAGGAAAATAATATGGAAATTACACCTTTGTTAGTGCTTGCTCAGATGTAACTCATGGGATGGTTTTGAATTTTGTGGACAGATATAGTTTGGACAACAATATGGATGGTTTCTATATTGCTCCAGCTTTCATGGACAAAGTTGTTGTTCACATCACTAAGAACTTCTTGAACTTGCCAAACATTAAGGTTAATTCGTCGATTGAATTGATATTTTAAATTTTGATTTTTCTTTTCTTTGTAGGTTTTAAATAATTGTCAATTAAGTGGAATGGGATTTAAAACAAAATTGTTTTTATTGCAGGTTCCTCTTATTCTGGGTATCTGGGGAGGTAAAGGTCAAGGAAAATCGTTCCAATGTGAACTTGTGTTTGCAAAAATGGGAATCAAGTGAGTAAAAGTTTTAGATGCCCTTGTCTTTTTTGTTTGATATGAAGCTGGAAATCATACTGGGAATTTAAATGAGAAAAACTGTCATTTTTAGTCTAGAGAACTAGTGCGGAAGTGAACTATGCCTAAGTTATCAGGACTGAAATCTGATTTAGGAGTACTAATATGTACTAATATGTACACATTTTTTCTCATTTGAATACAAACAGTCCAATTGTGATGAGTGCTGGAGAATTGGAAAGTGGAAATGCTGGAGAGCCTGCAAAGCTGATCCGGCAAAGGTACCGCGAGGCAGCAGACATAATCAAGAAAGGGAAAATGTGTTGCCTCTTCATAAACGATCTTGATGCTGGAGCCGGTAGGCTTGGAGGAACCACTCAATACACAGTCAACAACCAGATGGTGAATGCCACACTCATGAACATTGCCGACAATCCTACCAGTGTCCAACTTCCTGGAATGTACAACAAGGAGGAAAATCCCCGTGTTCCGATCGTTGTAACAGGAAATGACTTCTCCACCCTCTACGCCCCTCTCATACGTGATGGTCGTATGGAGAAGTTCTACTGGGCACCTACTAGAGAAGACAGGATCGGTGTCTGCCTAGGTATCTTCAGGACTGACAACGTCCCTAAGGAGGACATTATCAAGCTTGTTGACACTTTCCCGGGGCAGTCCATTGGTAAGTCTTATTCCTTTACCTCAATACAAGTACACTTTTTATGGCTTGTGATTGCCTTACGCTTGCAAGAAATTCTACTTTTAGTTGTAGCAAATGGAGAAGTAAAAGTAGAAGTAGAAGTCAACAGTTCAAAACTTTTAGCATTGTATATGTATTCTAACTTTTTCACTAAACATGCTACTTGAATTATGTTACTTGTATTGTACGTTACAAGAATGAACTTTTTTTTTTTTTTTTTTTCCTGCTGTTCAGACTTCTTTGGTGCCCTGAGAGCCAGAGTTTATGATGATGAAGTAAGGAAGTGGGTCTCCAGCATCGGAGTGGAAAACATTGGGAAAAGACTAGTGAACTCGAAAGAAGGACCCCCGACGTTTGAGCAGCCAAAGATGAGCCTTGACAAGCTGCTCGAGTACGGAAACATGCTTGTCAAAGAACAAGAGAATGTGAAGCGAGTTCAGTTGGCAGACAAGTACTTGAAAGAGGCGGCACTAGGAGATGCCAATGAGGATTCAATTAAGAGTGGAAACTTCTATGGTTAGAATCTTAGCCAAAAATCTCCTGAAGCCATTCCTTGATCAAAGGATCTCGTCATCGGATTTAGGATCGTTATTAGAAGCAATGATTTGAGAAGTTGTTCTTAAGTTTTTTTTCTTTCCTGAAACTTGTTTGGTTGCAGGGATAGCTGCTCAACAAATTAATCTTCCTGTCCCAGAAGGCTGCACTGATCCATCTGCAGAAAACTTTGATCCAACTGCCAGGAGTGACGATGGGAGCTGCCAGTATCAATTTTAATTCAAGTCTACAAAAACATATATAGGCACTTGAGATTGCATAACAAGTTTTCTTTTCCTTTTTTTTTTTTTAAAAAAAAAAGGGAAGAATAAGCTGGTCTAATAAAGTGGGACATTTAAAATTCTTGTCTATAAATTAGGATCTTGTATTTGAGTCCTATTGCATAATTTTTCTTCTCTTGTTTCTTCAATATATCAAGAAAAAGGTGTTTTATCACATCATTGCCATTAATCTCATAGAAATTTAAAACTAGTGAAATAAGTTCAAGAACAGGACCTTAGTTGACCAAATCTCTTGCTGAGTTTCTAGTGGCGTTCCATTCTATGGCCCTGGTTGTGTTGGTTTGGGGATTAAAGATTTTTCTAGACCATTCAAGACTTTCTTCTTCTCTGAAGCCTGGCCATTTTTGTTTGAACCTAATATTGTTGTGTTTTTCGGCCGACCCCATGTTAGTATTTTGAGCGCCAAGTCAATTAGTCCCAAATTTTTCCCCGCTACGGCCCACTAAATAACTTCATTCACTGTAGTTCTAATGAATACCCATAACTTAATAATAATAATAACAACAAGAACGACAATAATAATAATAATAATAATAATAGTAATAACAAGTTTAAATAGAAAAGTTTGAAAAAAAATTAAAAAAATTTATGAGAAAAAACACTTAGGTCGAACCTATGAAATAAACGTAATAATAATAATAATAATAATAATAATAACAATAATAAAAGCAAAGAACTCTTCCAGTAAACCCTGGCTGCCGTATTCACAAGTCATACCAAATAAAGTCCTAAGTAGATATGAGGATAGTAAACTACTCAAATAAAATAATCAATTATCCTAATCAATGGGTACCTTTTATTCAACATTTTTGGTAACAGTCTTCACTTCAGCACCAAAAGGAAAGGAAAAAAAATTTAAAAAATTAATTTAAAAAAGGGCATTTTGAGCAACAGGCTAAAAGTTTTTGGTTTTGAAGTGGGCTAGTGCTTTGCACCAACCAAATCCACTTACTAAAATAATGTTGGTATTGATATATTTTCACGTCCTCTATAATTAATTAAGCTAACTCTTATTTATACCTGGGGCATTTGTCGTAATATGTGTTTCAATGCAAACCAAACTGTAGGAGCAAAAAGGCATGCGCAATCAAAGTTCTCCATCTATCCAAAGTGCCTATTTAAATAAGCCGGGAACAGATGCAAAAGAGAACGCGTTTTTATTTAAAGTTTTAACTACAAATAATACTCATACTTAATTCGAGTTTTTAATTTGAGTTTAGATATGACTTTGTGTGAAAACTTTTTACTGTAACAAAAAAGTTATACGTGACTATTTCTTATGATTTTTTACTATAACAAAACTCAAATTCTAAACTCGAATTGGTGAAATGAACGAGACTTAAATTTACGCTATACTTTGTAAAATAAAAATAGTAGTGCACATGTGGTCACCAAATTTTTTTAAACACAAACGTCTAAGTTTCTAACTCCCTCCGTTAGAATTTCTTTTCTTTTCTTCCCGCCTCAACTAGGGATTCGAGGGCCAGTAAAACTGTAAAAGGGTGTATGATGAATAAAAAAGAGAAATGAATGAGAAGTAAAATATCTAAGTGAAAAAAGTAAAATGATTTTATCTCATATTGTTTAGTAAAAAAGGAAAAAAAAAGTGAAGATAAAATATCAAATTTAAGGCATTTTACAATAATATCTCAATATAAATAAAAATATGATCAATAGTAAATATTAAAATTGTTATTTTACACCTTATTTATTTGTCAAACTTTTTCTCTTTCATTTTTCAACCAAAGTTGAAAGGATAAAAAATTGATGGGCCTCATAAATTTTCATTTTCCTTCATTCCTTATTTCATCTCTACCAAACAACTTAAAATTCTATTTTTCTCTCTAAAATTATTCCTCTATTTTCTTTTCTACCCTACCAAATACACTGTAAGTAACAGGGCAGTCGACAGATTTTCTCCCAGGTTGCCCATGTCGTTCATTTTTTAGGAGGGAGTTTTGGGACTTGGAGTGGTGGGGTCTGGTTGTGGGCTTTATCTTGTATTTTCGAAGGTGGTCTCCCCACCTTTCAAGTCTTTATTTTATTTTTTCTTTGGTGGCTTATTTCTATCAATTACAGAGTTTTGGTAAAAGAGTGTTATATGAGCTCGTTATTAGTGTGCCAAAATACTTCCCATTTTGGGCTTCTGGCATACATCCTATCTTTCGTGAATTCTAACAGAAATAGTAAAAAATAGACCAATATAAAAAGTTTAAAAAAATATATAGGTTAATTTTTAATTATAAAAATTAATAGGTCATAACTTGTCAAGTTATGGTTCATAACCAGATAAGTTATGGATAAACATGTCAAGTTATGATTCATAGTCAGACAAGTTATGAACAAAAACCGTCAATAACTTGTCAAGTTATGGTTCATAACCAGACAAGTTATGGACAAAAACAGTAATTTAGCCTATTTATTAACTTATGTAAATTATTGACCTATTAATTTTAATACATCTCAAGTCTTGGCCTATCTCCATCTTTCTCCCTTATTTGTTTACACTGACAATATAAACGTTTGTTGTGGATTATGTTTTATATTATAGGGTCATTCACATTGTAATTCTTAATTATGCCTTATGAAATCTTTTTGTTTTAAAAAATTATATTGTCAAAAATTATTATCAAAATAAAAAGTACACATAACTAAATAACCAACGCTTTAACACAAATTTCTACTGGCAAGGTTTTTGTCAAATAATGTTAATTAACAAATGGATCATTTTGTCCTACACATGACATGGAATTGATGAAGATAAAGCTACTTCATGTGACACCATGAAACATTCCGTCCATACCCTAGAGTGACTATAAAGTATAAACTTTTTGTTTTCTTAATCCCTGTGCATTGGTCGATACCCTTATAATTAAAGTTTTTCCACATGAATTAATTAATTTAAGCATGTTTTGTTTTTCTTTGGTGGAAAAAAAAAAAGGAACAAATCTCCTACTCAGTTTCCATCCTTTCGCGGCCCATATTTTGATTAGAAAAAAGAATAATGAGAGTGAGTGGGTTTTGAATTTTGAGGCTCTTTCTCTGGTCTTAACTTAACCACCTTTCCACAAGTATTGACCAATTCTTAAATATATATATATATATATACACACACACACACACACATATCCAAAAAAAAAAAACAAAAAAACAAAAAAAAACAAAATCTGAAGTGGGCTGAGAATGGACGACCGTCTGGTCGTCTTCTTGGCGTTCAAAAAGCAAAAGATTCTTTTCTCTTCACTCTTTAACAAAATAACAAGGCTCTTGAGCCTCAGTGGCTTTGGTGTTAATTGCAAAATGTGTAATTGTCAAAAATTCCGATTTCAAGACATCTTTTCTTCAACCACATGACGTTGTTGGGACGTTATATTCATCATTGCACCACGGGATTATTCATTTTAATATGACTCCACTATATTTCTATTTTTTTATTTCTTGTTTTTTCTTTCGGGGGTAGAAAAGAGATGTGTTTGTTGATTTGCCTTATCCACCCAATTTTTGCGCTCAAACATTCCCAACTTTACTGCTACAATCCAAAGTACATTAATTAAGGTTCAAACGTCTAAACAGAAACATACCTCATAAAATTTTCCATGCAAAAGAAAAATTAAAAAAAAAAAAAGAAACTCAGAAAAATGTTGTGACCATAGCTAAGTGGTGGTTGTTTTTTTGAGCCTTCTGTAAAAGACTTATTAAAAGAATACATTATCGGTATTGTGTTTTTGTGGATCATCAGTTCATTTCAAAGTCTTATCAAAACTGAAAAGAAAAAAGAAAAAAAAGAAAAAAACAAAACATGAGCATCTTCATGACACAACAAATATATATATATATATATATTTTTTTTTTTATAGAAAAAAGATAATATGTTTCAAATTAACCAAATACAATCATCAATAATACTGACCCGAAAAGCCACAATTTATAGGAAAACTAAGATCCTAATAAATAATTAGTTCCACCAGTTCGTTAGATCAAATGAAATACTCAAGGAGAGAAAAGCATGTATTGAGCTTTAACATTGCACATTTCAAAAAGGTAAACCAAATATCAAGTACACATATGGTTTTTTAATAAACACTCAACAATCAATGAAAATTCAATCAATCCACATTGAGAGGGACTGCACAAAACTACGTTGTGTTTAGTTGATGGATTCGTATCATAGTTCGGATCATAATTCATAACTCGTTACAGTATTTTTTCTCACAAAAGACCACAATAAATTAAAAATAATTCTAAATTTATGAACTAAACGTCCACTACATTGACACATGTCAAGCTAAGGAAAAACACAATCTGATCAAACTAATAATCAAAATAAACACACAAACAAAGCAGGGTAAAAACATCGTTATTGCAAACTAAAGCATACCAAAAAAAAAAAAAAAAAGGAAAACCCAAAGCATTGCCATCTCAATCGTCCGACGAGGCATAACTGGTGAGAGGATCACTGAGAAAAGAAGGCGGCTTTGAGAGATAAATGGCACAGCTAATGAAGAGACGTAGTCAAATTGCAGAGCATGAACCACACGTGCCGATATCTTCCGAAGCCAATGCCACCCCAGCTAAAAAAAAAAAAAAAAACACCAACAGGAACAAAATCCCGAAAGATCTCATATGTCCAACAATAAAATGGCTGCAAAACACCTTCCAATCGTTCATTTTCTGACCTCCAAATGAGTCTAATATGCTCTAATAAAACCATCTCGCGAAATATTGCCACCTCCATTCAAAATTTTTTTAACAAGACGAGCTTGGGGACCAATTTTTAGGCTAAAGAGTTGTTTGGTTGGGGGATTCGTACCCCGATTCGAATCATGGTTCATGGTTCGCTACAATGTTTTCTCTCACAAAAATACACGTAAATAAAGAATGATTCTAATTCATGAACTAAACGTTTCCTAAGAGTCTAGCGACGTGCCTAAAGGGTGCGTTTCTCTCTCTCCCTCCCTTATGTCCTGTCATTTCTCACAGAGAGTCTAGATTTAAAGGGTGCGTTTAGAATTCGTTCTAAAATAATTTTATTTTTTATGTAAAAATAGAAATGAAAATGTTTTCAATCTCAAACAGAAATTATTTTTGAAAATGCATTTGGTAGTTTTATCGAGAGATTATTTTCAGTATAAAAAAATCCATTAATGTTTTTATCTCTCTCTATGCTCGAGAGAGGAGAAAACGGAAATAAAAAATAAAAAACGACTAAAAGTCGTTTTTCATTTCTCTTCCATTTTACACTAAATTAAAAAATTATTTTTATTTTTATATTTTATCTTTAATTGTGTCAAATTTCGTCTTTTCTGTTTTTATTTTTTTTCTCAAAAAAACGTGAAAAATAAAAATAAAACTAACTCCAAACATAGTCAAATTGTTGTAATTTTCACCTAGTAAAATGTTATTTCTTTAAGGGAACAATAAAGTATTTTTTTAACCTAAATACTGCTTTTATTTTTTCTGACCTTTTTTTTTAACACAAGTCTGTACAAGTGATTAAGTTCTTTTTATTTTTTTGGTGCAAACACAAGTGATCCAAGTTTAGACCAATGCAAATACTTTTCAAATTTGCAATTCCGAATACAGAGCAAAATAAAAAAAAAATTTCATTTGCACTTCCAAATATAGAGAGAAAAAAACAAAAGTTTGCTATTCTGAAAGCAAATCGAATCATAAAATCCCCAGTTAAAATGGAAAAAAAAAAAAAAA